AATTTTGTCTGTATCCATACCAGTATTTGCAATAAGAATTTTAGCATTTTCAATTCGCTTTGGTTGATTTACTCCAATTTTTTTATCCAACAGAAAGCCTACAATATAAAGATAGAATTGTATTAAATATTTCAAGGCTGTGTTAATACTATTTTAAGGTAATCTGCTTTATCAAATTACTCTTTTAGAAATGCTATACAGCCCTTACATATAAATTCAATCAAGAATATCTTCAGTAGGAATATCTTACTCCTGTGAAAGAGACAAACAACATGCATTTCTGCAACAAAACCCAGACTCCAAATCACTAACTGGTAGAGCAGAAACTGTAAAGCACAATTTACCCCATTTTTTCCTTCTCTGTACAATAGAATGCCTACACTTTCTACCTTTTATTTTGTGAATACACTGTGAAGATGCTTTGAAAAATCCACACTCTTAAGAATAAAACATACTATTATCAAGGAAATTGCAGCTGCTAACTCATTTATCACTCTTCAAGAACACCAGAAACTATATTCTCAACACCTGCCAACTAATTGGTATGACCTACCCAAACCCTTCCTAGAGAATACATGTAATCCTGGAAAAAGTGCCATTTGACAATAGCTGACTTCTAGTAAAAAAACAAAAAAAAACAAAAAAAACTACTTCTCGGGGCTTCCCTGGTGGTGCAGTGGTTGACAGTCCGCCTGCCGATGCAGGGGACACGGGTTCGTGCCCCGGTCCGGGAAGATCCCACATGCCGCGCGGAGCGGCTGGGCCCGTGAGCCATGGCCACTGAGCGGCACGTCTGGAGCCTATGCTCCACAACGGGAGAGGCCACAACAGTGAGAGGCCCGCGTACCACAAAAACAAAAAAACAAAAAAAAACCCAACTACTTCTCTTTATTAGAGACTAACTTACTTCATGGTATAAAGTAAAACCTAGAGGTTATCAAAAGAAATGCTGGGATAATTTGAGAAGATCAAACACAGTCAATATAACAAACGAATTAAGATGACAAAAATGGCTGCAATATGATTTGTGTCCTTAAAGACAAGTTTTCTGTCTTTGCGAAGTGTCACTAGTCCTGATTAACTAAAAGTGGATTCACTCAGTACTTAGCTTTCAACAACTGGTCAAGGCTTCCTTTCCCGTATTCAATATGTACATACCTTCATCTAAATAGGAATCTGCCATACTTCCTCCTAGCTTCTTGATGACATGAATTGCCTCCAGATTACCAGAGCCTTTCAGTCTGAGAACGGCTTCCACAGCTAACTTAGTAAAGTGGTCTTTGTGATGAGTAAGAAGTTTTGAGGATAATGTTGTTCCTGCAATGTTCATTAAATCTTGACGGAATTTAACTTCGTCAGAACTAAAAAAGCAAAACAAAACAAAAAAAGAACAAAAAAACTCAGGCCAGTTCTTAAAATGCTTCTCTGAAGTTATCAACCCTGTTTTACTTTTCAAAATTTATCCAGATACTTTTTTGTCAATAGACTTTCACCTCAACCAGTCAGGGCTCTAAGTCCCATGAAAAAAATTAAACCTTATCAATAATCAAGAAATACAAATTAAAGGATACTATTTTCCCCACCAAGCTGGCAAACTACCAAAAGAGAAACACAAGCAAACAAAAATTTCAAGAACATGGGAAACGAGGCATTGTTATACAGCTAGTGGGACTGTAAATTAATGAATTTTTTCTACAGCACTACTTGTAAGGTAAATAAAATTGCTTTTAAATACATACATATCTTTGGACACAGCAATTATACTTACTTTTTTTAAGTAGCAAGTCTGTCACAACACTATAAAGCTAAAAATTGTCGAAACACAAATCTCCAATTATAGATAGGTGAATTATAGTAGTCACAAAATCAAATGCATACCTCTACTAAAACTAATATTACAGAGAACACTGACACCTCGAAACTTTTCTAGTTATTCAACTAGGTTAAAGAGGCTAAAAAACACTCTATACAATGATACTATTTGTTTATTGTGATTATACATGTAAAAAAACCCCTGGAAACCCAAACTTTAACTTTAGTTACTACCTCTGGGGGGTAAGGTGGGGTTTTTCTGGCTTTTATTGAGGCAGGATGAGCGAATAGAGTCATGTTTGTGTATGCTTTTCACTGCTCTCTAGACTTCCTGCATTGACTGTATTTCTAAAAGAACATTTAAACATTAAATGTTTGAAACAGTAGTGTTTTGGTATACCAACCCATGATCAACTGCAGAATTCAACAGAGCCTGTCTTGCCGCCTTTGTGGCTTCTCTCCAACCCGCAATAATGGTCTGTGGATGAATCTTTTTTGCAATTAAAGATTCTGCTTCCTATTAATAAACAGTGGAAGACAAGGATGAATGCTAAATCTGTAGTAAGAAATTGATTACTTCTGATACTCAAAACCACAGTAGCAAAAATAAACCCCAAGAAGACGAAGCTGAAGTTACTCAGATATTCTTACCCTTAGTAATTCTGCTGCTAAAACAGTAACAGAGGTAGTGCCATCACCAACTTCATCATCTTGAACCCTTGACATATCTAGGGGGAAAAAAAAAGCTAGTTATTAACTCACTTACGTTTGACTCTGCTTTTTAAATTACTTCTTGGTAGCTTACCTAATTCTCCAAATATACCCACTACCAATCTAAATCTCACTTATGTAGGTTTCCTCACCTGACAAATTCTTTGAACTTTTCAGCCCGAAATACAGTAGTTTTACCATCAGTAAGTAAATGGCACTCCAGAAGACTGTATTTTTAAAAAAATTTTACTGAAGCATAGCTGACTTACAATGCTGTGCTAATTTTTGCTGTACAGCCAAGTGGTTCAGTTGTACACATATATTCTTTTTCATATTCTTTTCCATTATGGTTTAACACAGAATACTGAATATAATTCTCTGTGCTACACAGCAGGACCTTGTTGTTCATCCATTCTATATATATTAGTTTGCATCTGCTAATCCCAAACTCCCAATCCATCCCTCCCCCTCTGCCCTTGGCAACCACAAGTCTGTTCTGTATGTGAGTCTGTTCCTGTTTCATAGATAGGTTCATTTTTGTCATATTTGACTCCACATATAAGTGATAGTATGTGGTATTTGTCTTTCTCTGACTTACTTCACTTTGTACAATAATCTCTAGGTCCATCCATGTTGCTGCAAATGGCATTATTTCATTCTTTTTTATGGCTGAGAAATATTCCATTGTGTATATATACCACAACGAAGCTTGCATTTTAATAACGATAATAATCAATTAAAAAGTAAATAATCAATGAATCGAAAGGACAGTCAACACAGCCTATTTAAAATTGTTTCCAAATGTTAACAAAATGTCATCCTCAGACTCACCAACTAAAACTTTAGCAGCTGGATTGTCCACACCAATATTTTTTAAAATAGTTGCACCATCATTGGTTACCATAAGAGAAGCATCTCGTCCACTGCTTAACAGAATTTTGTCCTAAAAGGAACATATTTGGTTCAAGTTAAGATATAAGTACACCTGGAAGAACACACAGATTCATCAGTACTCTCATATATTGCTAATATGTAAATACTCTGGATGGTTATTTGGCAGAATCCACTTAAATGTTTTCATTGCATACACTCCCCCCAAAAGCAAACCTTGGTGTCCTAACCTTTGTCTACCCCTAAAGACAGCAGAAGAACAGAGAGACATGAACAAGGCTGTTCTGATACTGTAATATCAAAAGCAATGAACGCAAACTAATAACCTAACGTAAACCTCACAATACAGTGATAAATACAAACTATAAAATAAGCAAGATACAGAATACTATTTGACAGTGAGAGGAGGCAGTATATCTATTTATACTGAAAAGAATTAAGCAAGCCAAGCTACAGCAAAAGTACATACAAGTAATATCTATCATGTAACAAAATAATGCTATCTATTACAGGGAGAATATATAAAATAATATCTTATAATACATAAAATACCTGTACATCTACATAAAGACATTGGTTAGATTTATATCCAAATGGTAACAGTGTTTGTCACTGGGGAGGTGAGTGGCACTGGGGCTGTATAGTGATCGATGGGGACTTTAGCCATGGGTACTGTTTTGATTTTCAGTAAGGAGTATATATCCATATCTTAACTTTTACAATTAACAGTTAAGTTTTAAAGATAACAAAGCATCCAAAAGAAGTTTTTATATCTCTAATGGCTCTAAAACAACATTAAAAAATTTAAATTCCCTGTTTTTCTTACCATGCCCTTGGGTCCCAACGTGCTCTTTACCAAGTCTCCAATAGCAATGGCGCCAACAAAAGAAGACTGGAATAAAAATCCGAGATGGTCAAAATCAACTTCACAGTCTTAAAATTTTTAAAAAACCCAAAAAACTACTGTATCTTTATAAGAATGAGATAAAGTCTTACCAGACGAGCTGTCTCTGCTCTCTCTTCATCAGCTCCAGCCTTGAAGATATTAACAGGTGCAAGGGAAAGGGACGCCTAAAAAAGAAAACCAAGACTCAGTTTGAATACCAGTATTCTTTAACACATAGATGCCTTCCACTAGACTTACAAGTAGATACCTAACAGAAAATTAATTTACAGCACAAGGTACTTTTTTAAACAAATGAAGCTCTCCATCATCGGAGCAGTCATTTATTTAAAGCGGAAGGAGGAACTTAGGTGACATTGCATTTTGGATCTCTAAGCGCTTCAGGAATAAAAATTCTACCCCAAAGAGATCGACTGTAAGTATGGCGAGACCAAAGATGGCAAAGATGATTTTAAACTAAGGATAAGGCAGGCAGGTGTGGTAGGCCACTCGCGCGACGACGACCGCCAGGAGGACGAGGGGATGCTGCGGCCTCGCTGCCATCTTCGCCCTCTGGCCGCTCCAGGCTCCGCCCCGAGAGGGAGGGGGAAGCCCGTCTCGCCGACCCGCCCGGTGCACTAGAAATTTCTTCGCTTGGGGTGAGCTCCGAGCCTCGAGGTTCTGGGGCTGTGGAGAGGCCGAGTCACAACAAGGTGCTGGCCTTCAGGCCCATGCCTGCCCTGTGGGCCCGGCGCAGGCCACACGCCGCGGCCTGCGCCACGTGCGGCGGGCCCGGGGACAGACACAGGGAGCCCGCGGCGCTGGGATACAGATGAGGCAGCAGACGGCGGGGGACGACCGAGGACGGCCGAGGACGGCGGGCCCCGGGCAAGGGCCTATAGGGCCAGACTCACCATGGTTCCGAGGAGTAACATATATACTGTTAGGTTAAAAAAAGCATGTTATAAGTTTATACCATATGATCACAACTAAATGAAGAACTGAAACAACATACACACACACCACGAATCAACTTAATAAAAGAATTTCTGGGAGAATTGTTCCTTCTTTATACTTTCAAACCTCCCAAAATGAGCAAATGTTACTCATACAACAGGAGTAAAAAGGACATCTGTTTAAAAGGTTGTAACTTAAAAAAAGCCAAAGAAAAAATTTTCTTAACTAGTATAAAGCACTGCTAAGCAAAATTGTGCCTTATCAGAATCATAGATCTCATAGAAGTTTAGAAACTAGCTTTTCTTCTTCTTTTTTTAATTAATTTATTTTATTTGTTGCTGCGCGCAGGCTTTCTCTAGTTGCGGCGAGCAGCAGCTACTCTTCATTGTGGTGCGCAGGCTTCTCATTGTGGTGGCTTCTTGTTGCGGAGCACGGGCTCAGTAGTTGTGGCACGTGGGCTCAGTAGTTGTGGCTCGCGGGCTCTAGAGCGCAGGCTCAGTAGCTGTGGCACACGGGCTTAGCTGCTCCACCGCATGTGGGGTCTTCCCAGACCAGGGCTCAAACCCCTGTTCCCTGCATTGGCAGGCGGATTCCCAACCACTGTACTACCAGGGAAGTCCCTAGTAACTAACTTCTAAAAGCCCACATACATTTGGCTTAAAACAATTATTTTCCATCAAATGGTAAATCTCTCTCAAAGTTAACTATTGCCCTTTCACTGAAATGCATTTGGAAAAAAACACTTCCTAAATAACTAAATTCAATATAAAAGAATTTTCCTAAATCTTTGCAGGAAACAATCCTTTCTTGGATTATTATAAATCTTGTTAGCACAAGCATACACAGACCTGTTAATAAAGCAATTTATCCCATGCTTAAGAATACGTTCAACTTTCTCCTTCATTTTTTCCTTTTCTGCACGTTCTATTTCGGCAACTTTTGCTGTAGAATCAACTCTTACCCGGGAACCAAATATCTAAAACAAATGAAATCATAAAAAATAGCATCACTTTCCTAACTCGCAAGTTTCACAGCATATTTAAACTTTTTAATGTAAATACACCAAAAACTATGTGTGCATGTGTGTATGCATATGTACAATATAAATATATATTCATATATATATAATCAGAAGCTAAGAAACTATATAAGAATATACATTCACATGTATATAAACCCTATAAGGGTTTTTATTAGTGCAACTGATTACCAGCCCAAGTTTATAGCAGCTAGCAATTAGAATTCCAAGAAACGTAGTTTAACGTACCTTAATTTTGTCTGTATCCATACCAGTATTTGCAATAAGAATTTTAGCATTTTCAATTCGCTTTGGTTGATTTACTCCAATTTTTTTATCCAACAGAAAGCCTACAATATAAAGATAGAATTGTATTAAATATTTCAAGGCTGTGTTAATACTATTTTAAGGTAATCTGCTTTATCAAATTACTCTTTTAGAAATGCTATACAGCCCTTACATATAAATTCAATCAAGAATATCTTCAGTAGGAATATCTTACTCCTGTGAAAGAGACAAACAACATGCATTTCTGCAACAAAACCCAGACTCCAAATCACTAACTGGTAGAGCAGAAACTGTAAAGCACAATTTACCCCATTTTTTCCTTCTCTGTACAATAGAATGCCTACACTTTCTACCTTTTATTTTGTGAATACACTGTGAAGATGCTTTGAAAAATCCACACTCTTAAGAATAAAACATACTATTATCAAGGAAATTGCAGCTGCTAACTCATTTATCACTCTTCAAGAACACCAGAAACTATATTCTCAACACCTGCCAACTAATTGGTATGACCTACCCAAACCCTTCCTAGAGAATACATGTAATCCTGGAAAAAGTGCCATTTGACAATAGCTGACTTCTAGTAAAAAAACAAAAAAAAACAAAAAAAACTACTTCTCGGGGCTTCCCTGGTGGTGCAGTGGTTGACAGTCCGCCTGCCGATGCAGGGGACACGGGTTCGTGCCCCGGTCCGGGAAGATCCCACATGCCGCGCGGAGCGGCTGGGCCCGTGAGCCATGGCCACTGAGCGGCACGTCTGGAGCCTATGCTCCACAACGGGAGAGGCCACAACAGTGAGAGGCCCGCGTACCACAAAAACAAAAAAACAAAAAAAAACCCAACTACTTCTCTTTATTAGAGACTAACTTACTTCATGGTATAAAGTAAAACCTAGAGGTTATCAAAAGAAATGCTGGGATAATTTGAGAAGATCAAACACAGTCAATATAACAAACGAATTAAGATGACAAAAATGGCTGCAATATGATTTGTGTCCTTAAAGACAAGTTTTCTGTCTTTGCGAAGTGTCACTAGTCCTGATTAACTAAAAGTGGATTCACTCAGTACTTAGCTTTCAACAACTGGTCAAGGCTTCCTTTCCCGTATTCAATATGTACATACCTTCATCTAAATAGGAATCTGCCATACTTCCTCCTAGCTTCTTGATGACATGAATTGCCTCCAGATTACCAGAGCCTTTCAGTCTGAGAACGGCTTCCACAGCTAACTTAGTAAAGTGGTCTTTGTGATGAGTAAGAAGTTTTGAGGATAATGTTGTTCCTGCAATGTTCATTAAATCTTGACGGAATTTAACTTCGTCAGAACTAAAAAAGCAAAACAAAACAAAAAAAGAACAAAAAAACTCAGGCCAGTTCTTAAAATGCTTCTCTGAAGTTATCAACCCTGTTTTACTTTTCAAAATTTATCCAGATACTTTTTTGTCAATAGACTTTCACCTCAACCAGTCAGGGCTCTAAGTCCCATGAAAAAAATTAAACCTTATCAATAATCAAGAAATACAAATTAAAGGATACTATTTTCCCCACCAAGCTGGCAAACTACCAAAAGAGAAACACAAGCAAACAAAAATTTCAAGAACATGGGAAACGAGGCATTGTTATACAGCTAGTGGGACTGTAAATTAATGAATTTTTTCTACAGCACTACTTGTAAGGTAAATAAAATTGCTTTTAAATACATACATATCTTTGGACACAGCAATTATACTTACTTTTTTTAAGTAGCAAGTCTGTCACAACACTATAAAGCTAAAAATTGTCGAAACACAAATCTCCAATTATAGATAGGTGAATTATAGTAGTCACAAAATCAAATGCATACCTCTACTAAAACTAATATTACAGAGAACACTGACACCTCGAAACTTTTCTAGTTATTCAACTAGGTTAAAGAGGCTAAAAAACACTCTATACAATGATACTATTTGTTTATTGTGATTATACATGTAAAAAAACCCCTGGAAACCCAAACTTTAACTTTAGTTACTACCTCTGGGGGGTAAGGTGGGGTTTTTCTGGCTTTTATTGAGGCAGGATGAGCGAATAGAGTCATGTTTGTGTATGCTTTTCACTGCTCTCTAGACTTCCTGCATTGACTGTATTTCTAAAAGAACATTTAAACATTAAATGTTTGAAACAGTAGTGTTTTGGTATACCAACCCATGATCAACTGCAGAATTCAACAGAGCCTGTCTTGCCGCCTTTGTGGCTTCTCTCCAACCCGCAATAATGGTCTGTGGATGAATCTTTTTTGCAATTAAAGATTCTGCTTCCTATTAATAAACAGTGGAAGACAAGGATGAATGCTAAATCTGTAGTAAGAAATTGATTACTTCTGATACTCAAAACCACAGTAGCAAAAATAAACCCCAAGAAGACGAAGCTGAAGTTACTCAGATATTCTTACCCTTAGTAATTCTGCTGCTAAAACAGTAACAGAGGTAGTGCCATCACCAACTTCATCATCTTGAACCCTTGACATATCTAGGGGGAAAAAAAAAGCTAGTTATTAACTCACTTACGTTTGACTCTGCTTTTTAAATTACTTCTTGGTAGCTTACCTAATTCTCCAAATATACCCACTACCAATCTAAATCTCACTTATGTAGGTTTCCTCACCTGACAAATTCTTTGAACTTTTCAGCCCGAAATACAGTAGTTTTACCATCAGTAAGTAAATGGCACTCCAGAAGACTGTATTTTTAAAAAAATTTTACTGAAGCATAGCTGACTTACAATGCTGTGCTAATTTTTGCTGTACAGCCAAGTGGTTCAGTTGTACACATATATTCTTTTTCATATTCTTTTCCATTATGGTTTAACACAGAATACTGAATATAATTCTCTGTGCTACACAGCAGGACCTTGTTGTTCATCCATTCTATATATATTAGTTTGCATCTGCTAATCCCAAACTCCCAATCCATCCCTCCCCCTCTGCCCTTGGCAACCACAAGTCTGTTCTGTATGTGAGTCTGTTCCTGTTTCATAGATAGGTTCATTTGTGTCATATTTGACTCCACATATAAGTGATAGTATGTGGTATTTGTCTTTCTCTGACTTACTTCACTTTGTACAATAATCTCTAGGTCCATCCATGTTGCTGCAAATGGCATTATTTCATTCTTTTTTATGGCTGAGAAATATTCCATTGTGTATATATACCACAACGAAGCTTGCATTTTAATAACGATAATAATCAATTAAAAAGTAAATAATCAATGAATCGAAAGGACAGTCAACACAGCCTATTTAAAATTGTTTCCAAATGTTAACAAAATGTCATCCTCAGACTCACCAACTAAAACTTTAGCAGCTGGATTGTCCACACCAATATTTTTTAAAATAGTTGCACCATCATTGGTTACCATAAGAGAAGCATCTCGTCCACTGCTTAACAGAATTTTGTCCTAAAAGGAACATATTTGGTTCAAGTTAAGATATAAGTACACCTGGAAGAACACACAGATTCATCAGTACTCTCATATATTGCTAATATGTAAATACTCTGGATGGTTATTTGGCAGAATCCACTTAAATGTTTTCATTGCATACACTCCCCCCAAAAGCAAACCTTGGTGTCCTAACCTTTGTCTACCCCTAAAGACAGCAGAAGAACAGAGAGACATGAACAAGGCTGTTCCGATACTGTAATATCAAAAGCAATGAACGCAAACTAATAACCTAACGTAAACCTCACAATACAGTGATAAATACAAACTATAAAATAAGCAAGATACAGAATACTATTTGACAGTGAGAGGAGGCAGTATATCTATTTATACTGAAAAGAATTAAGCAAGCCAAGCTACAGCAAAAGTACATACAAGTAATATCTATCATGTAACAAAATAATGCTATCTATTACAGGGAGAATATATAAAATAATATCTTATAATACATAAAATACCTGTACATCTACATAAAGACATTGGTTAGATTTATATCCAAATGGTAACAGTGTTTGTCACTGGGGAGGTGAGTGGCACTGGGGCTGTATAGTGATCGATGGGGACTTTAGCCATGGGTACTGTTTTGATTTTCAGTAAGGAGTATATATCCATATCTTAACTTTTACAATTAACAGTTAAGTTTTAAAGATAACAAAGCATCCAAAAGAAGTTTTTATATCTCTAATGGCTCTAAAACAACATTAAAAAATTTAAATTCCCTGTTTTTCTTACCATGCCCTTGGGTCCCAACGTGCTCTTTACCAAGTCTCCAATAGCAATGGCGCCAACAAAAGAAGACTGGAATAAAAATCCGAGATGGTCAAAATCAACTTCACAGTCTTAAAATTTTTAAAAAACCCAAAAAACTACTGTATCTTTATAAGAATGAGATAAAGTCTTACCAGACGAGCTGTCTCTGCTCTCTCTTCATCAGCTCCAGCCTTGAAGATATTAACAGGTGCAAGGGAAAGGGACGCCTAAAAAAGAAAACCAAGACTCAGTTTGAATACCAGTATTCTTTAACACATAGATGCCTTCCACTAGACTTACAAGTAGATACCTAACAGAAAATTAATTTACAGCACAAGGTACTTTTTTAAACAAATGAAGCTCTCCATCATCGGAGCAGTCATTTATTTAAAGCGGAAGGAGGAACTTAGGTGACATTGCATTTTGGATCTCTAAGCGCTTCAGGAATAAAAATTCTACCCCAAAGAGATCGACTGTAAGTATGGCGAGACCAAAGATGGCAAAGATGATTTTAAACTAAGGATAAGGCAGGCAGGTGTGGTAGGCCACTCGCGCGACGACGACCGCCAGGAGGACGAGGGGATGCTGCGGCCTCGCTGCCATCTTCGCCCTCTGGCCGCTCCAGGCTCCGCCCCGAGAGGGAGGGGGAAGCCCGTCTCGCCGACCCGCCCGGTGCACTAGAAATTTCTTCGCTTGGGGTGAGCTCCGAGCCTCGAGGTTCTGGGGCTGTGGAGAGGCCGAGTCACAACAAGGTGCTGGCCTTCAGGCCCATGCCTGCCCTGTGGGCCCGGCGCAGGCCACACGCCGCGGCCTGCGCCACGTGCGGCGGGCCCGGGGACAGACACAGGGAGCCCGCGGCGCTGGGATACAGATGAGGCAGCAGACGGCGGGGGACGACCGAGGACGGCCGAGGACGGCGGGCCCCGGGCAAGGGCCTATAGGGCCAGACTCACCATGGTTCCGAGGAGTTCAGCAAACACGACAACCCCTCACCAGCTCGCGCCCCAGGCCGGAGGAAAGAGAAGCCGGAAGTAAGAGAGGCCGGAAATGACGCCACACGCTCAGCCGCAGGGGGCGGAGCCCCGGTCGGCGCGCTGCTCGCCCTGGCACCGCCCTTGGGGGAAGGGAGGGCACAGCGTTTGAGGGGAGCCCCGCGGTTCGGAAAAGCTGCCCGTTCCGCTGGAGGGGCGGGGCCTCGGCTGGCGCTCCGCTCCCTTTGGAGGCACCCGCTGGGGACCAGGAAGGGGAGGGTTGAAGATTTTGCGTGAGGCCCAGAGGTTTAGAGTAGAGCTCACCAAGGTGGGAGAGGCGCTACGCTGTGGGTGTTGCCATAGCAACGGAGTTCTTTCTCGCATGTTTAATTTTTCTTTTCTTATATTTAACCTTTAAAAAAGGTTGCTTTAAAGTACTACATGTACAGAGTTTAAAGTGTTGTATACTAATGTAATAGAGGTGGGGCAGGCACGTGGCTGTTAGAGAGCCACTGGTAGCAGTCCCTCCCAGCCATTGGTTGACGTCGCAGGAGACCCCCCCACACACCCGGGGACCCCACCCCACCCCCACCCCTTTCAAGGTCCGCTAGCTTTGCGATTAAAGTCATTATTCCCTGCCCCAACAACTTGCTTCCAGATTTATTGGCCTGTTGTGCAGCAACAGAGCGAGCTTGGGCTCAATAACACTAATAATGGAAAACATAATTCACCAACCACATTAATTCCTCTCCTCAGAAGCAACCACTCTCAACTTTTTGAGCTTTTTAAAACATTTACCGTTATATTCCTAAATAATATTTTATTGCTATTTTAATTTTAAACATTATTTATTAAGATGGAGGAAGACATATTTCTTTTACTGGATTGTAGAACGCTGTTCTCAATTGGGCTGTCCATGACAGTGTCTTGTGAGCTCTGATGGAGACTTTTACTTTGTCCGGCTTGCTCACTTTCAGGAGGTTTTGCATTTCACTCATTCTCCCCTCCCCCCAACACACAGTTGTAGAGATGACTAATATCCTCTTACATAATGTCTTTGTAAAAAGCAAAATCAATCCCAAATATTTCCGTTTGTTAAGAACAGTTTCTACTTTCTCTAAGTTGACCCCTAGGACATTTAAAGCAAAATTTTTGTACTTAAAAAAAATGTTTAGCTTTGCATCTGATACCTTTTTCTCCCTTTGACTAACTGATCTCTTAGCAAGCTCTTGGATTGTGGCAATTGTTAACATTGGTGGGTGTTTTCAATTTAAAAAAATATATTTATTTATTTGGCTGCGCCTGGTCTTCGTTGCCACATGTGGGATCTTTAGTTGGAGCATGTGAACTCTTAGTTGCGGCATGTGGGATCTAGTTCCCTGACCAGGGATTAAACCTGGGCCCCCTGCATTGGGAGGGCAGAGTCCTAGCCACTGGACCACCAGGGAAGTCCTGATATTTTCCATTTTTAATTGTTCTACCCTTCAGATATATGCTAAGAGGGTTAGTTTACACCAGGGATTGACAAACCATGAGGCGCCATATCCAACCTGCCACCTGATTTTGTATGGCCAGAGAGTTAAGAATGATTTTTATATTAAGTGATTGAAAACATAAAAACTTTTGTGATACATTAAAATTATGTGAAATTTATATTTTGACATCCATGAAGCTTGGTTGTTAACACAAGCAAACTCATTTTTATACTGGGCAATACAATACAGATACAATGGAAGAGTTGAGTAGTTGTGACAGACTCTATAGCCCATAAAGCCTAAAAAAACTATTTACTATCTGATCCTTTACGGACAACGTTTGCTGACCCCAGTTTACACTATTTGCAGGGTCCATCATGAAAAGGGGTGTTCAGATTGGACAAATTATTATAAATCTACCAAGAGTTTTGTGTTCTTTGTGGGAAAAACTTGCTCAGGAAATGCACCTCAACCGGCAGATCTCAAATCGCACAGTGTAATGAAAAGTCACAAGAACAAGGCGCTAAGATACCTGCACAATATTGAAAACAGCTGTTTTTATTGTGGGCAAAATCACGTGTGGAAATATTACGTCCTCTGGCAGGCAAGTCTGAGACTATGGGTGATGGAGAAGCCAGCGCCCCCTCCCTGCTGGTCTTTGGAGCGGCGGTTGGGAGAAGCATAGCCAGGGGCTCTTGGATGGGAACTGGGAGGCAGGCTCTGCCACCTGTGGAGCAGAGGCCAGAGACAGCCAGGAGGAGCCCCCTATGAGGGAACTCCCAGCAATCTGTCCTTCCTCTATTGCGTGTGTTTTTGACTTTTCCTCCTTTCCTGTGTCATTTGGTGTCACCCTTGTATGCCAGAGGCTAAACAGCTTCAGGAACCAGACTGTGTGGGTTTGGATTTCAACTCTTCCATATATTAGTTTTGTAATTTGGGGTGGGTTCCATAAGCCTGCCTACTGTGATCTATAGCAATGTGAGAAATAACAAAATTTGTTTTAAGCCACCAAGTTTTTAGGTGGCTTGTTGCACAGCAACAGATAACCAAAACACTCCTTTAACAATGCCTTTGAAAAAGCATTTATCCACTTTTGCTTCCATTTTAGTCTCCCTGCCTTATTAAAATGCCATGTCCTCTATTTTATCCTCCATATTGATGTCAGTCATCTTTATAAAATGTTATTTCTCCAATGTTTAAACCCTTCAAATTGTCTCACCTCATTTTGAGTAAAACAAAAACTCCTTCGCATTCTATACCTATGTGATGTCTCTCATTTCTCCCTTGTCTATCCTCCCAGACTGCCTTTGCATCCTATGCTCCAGGCATATGGAACCTTTGCCACCACTGAACATCGTGATCTTTCTACACCTCTGTGCCTTTGCACACGGTATTTCTTCTCCCTAAGATATCCTCTCCCCTCCTGCCCTCATCAAACACCTCAGGGATTACCTCCTGTAAGCCCTTCTCGAAAATCTCCATTCTCAGGCTGAGTTAGACGCCCTTCCTTTGTATGTGCCATATCATATTCAGAATTGGAATAATTTGTTCTCAATTCTCCTAAGTATATAGCTACTACTATTCTAGAGGTATCACAGAGATGGTAATTCCTTATACCTAATTTATATCTTAGAGCTTAGTCCTCTGGGGGGAGGAAGGGCACTGCCCTCAGTTAGAAGGGCTGTTCTAAACTACAAATTCTTTTGAGAACAAGAATTACTATCTTTATTACTAGCATAGGACCTAGTTTGTGCTCATTCATTAAATAAGAATATGTGAACAGTTACTGTCTTCAACGGAGCTCAAAGGAAAAATACAGAAATAATCCCAAAAAAGGTTTTAATTTCTGAGAACAAACACCTAAGTTTTGCAAGATGTGGTCTCTGTCACATCTTAACCAATTTCTGTGTTCCATGGTGTCTGGTACATAGTAAGCACCCAATCATTTGTGGACTTGTCTATTCCCTTTACTGTTTAAATAATCTCCATCTTGAGCTATACCGAAATAGGCTTTGCAGTGCCACTCAGTGACAAAAAACAGGTCTGGAGTCCCAGCCCTGAGTACTACTAGTTTAAATGACCAAGAAGATAAAAACTGTGAGAGTCTGTCAAATACATAAAATTTCATTTCACTTTGAACTTTGAAAATGGAGGCAGCGATATGAGACTAAGGAATAAAACCTCTTATAAAGTTTCAAGAAATATGTGAAGTATAAATACAGTGAAACTTTAAATAGGCATCCAACCAAACTTTTATTGGGGTTTTATTGCAATCTACTTTAGGCAATAAGGGGGAAAGTAACCGTAAGAACTCCCATCAGATTTTATTCAACAAAGCAGTTTTTCACTAATACTTAAGGTTAGTGTATAGTCAGCTCAGCTTCCAGTATCATCAACTTGAGTACCTCGTCATGAAGATTTATCCCAGAATGACAACATTAAGTCATTGAAAGAAGCTAAATCATCTAAAATTAAACCATGTTTTATATATACTTTTTAGGATGGTATATTAATACTCTACAATAAGTAAGGATTTTTAAAAAGTGTTGCTTAGCCCTTGTTGAACTAAATTCAATTATTAGCTTATTCTTTAAGTACTCCAGTTAATAAAGGTTTGATTGTACTTCAAGAACTCTGACTTTTCCAAAAATAAAAAATTAGTTCTTATTTGTTAGGACAAAAATTAAGCTTAAAAGCACATTCACACTTGTCCTTAAAAGCACGTTCACATCATATACGAGATAACTTCCTCATGCCTGGAAACGTGGCTTATATGGCAAAAAAAGTCACATGCAAAGAACAACTAGAGGGTAATCCTCCCATGTCCACATCCTCCAAAAAGCCACACTTGGCCTCAGTGTAAAAGTTATATTTTATTGCCATGCTACAAAACGTATGAAGTTGGCACTGACAGGGAGAAATAGAGAACAAGGGTGGGGAGGGCTAGAGGGCAAAAGATGTTGTTACATATACAACAAGGTTTAATCAACAGTGGTAAATTTTGCCAATATTAAAAATGCAAACCAAAATTTAAAATGCTGATATGAAACAGCGTTAAAATACAATTTATGCATAGTACAGTATCACTTATGTCTTTTATTAGAGAAATATGGAATGCTTATAAACGAAATTAACTATAGGGGGTAAAATTCATATTTCATTTACAATTTGGCAATGTTAGACAATTTTTTAGTCCCACTGTTAGACAATTTTTTATAAAAGACAAAATTAAAAATCTAATAAGCTACCTTTATACAAAGTTGCTATATTTATGCCTTTACGTAGGAAAAAAAACATTTATAATGCAAATTAGGACATACATAATCTTACAATATTATACAATGTAATGAAAATAAAAACATAACACAAAATTTGTCCTTTATAAAATGTGTATTTTGCATTTACCAATGCAAATGTGGCACACTGGTGACTACTGTACTATTAATACCAGTCCGTTTCCATGCTGCTATTGTCCAATTGTCATAGAACTGCAATTGTAATGATGCTACAAAAGAATCGTGTTACACCAAAAAAGAAAAAAAAGAGGATGTAGGGATGGGGAAAAGGGACGTAAAGAACAGGAAAAATAGGGTGCTGGTTTGGGCAGAGTATATTGTGGTATGTCATAAAATATTTGTTAATTTTTCAAGCCAAAAACATTTCCTATACATTCTGTGATTTTGTACCAATGCCTTTATTCAAATTTGGCAAACATCAGGGAAAAGGTAATTTAGTACCATATACCTCACATATCAGAGATTAGAAAGAGATGCCAATACATCAGTTACTTCTGAATGTTGTCTCTGATGGTATGTCTATTTCAAGGATATAGATATATAGATATATAGATATATATATATATGTATATACAAATATACATATATATATTTATACACACACACTACACATTGCACAAAACACTTGGACATTATGGGTTAGGAACAGCACAAGGGGAAATGGGATGTATTTTTTAGCTTGTTAAGACCTTTACCTTGAGGCAAAAATATGGTGGCACATTATTGGGAAATTATGAAAACATAAGGCCCCTGTCCCATTTTTAATAGAACATTATTGAGGTACATTTTTATACTTTGCGCCACGGATTTTTTTGGTGGGGGGGGGGATACACAAACACTAGCTTGACTCACAACACTGAACTGTGGGGTCAACATTAATATCTGTAAAAACAAAGACTGCTTGGCAAATTTTCTTAAGTCCAAAATGTGATCTATTCTGGATATACTGAGAAGTGAAAAGCTTTTTGCTGAGTCTTCAAAAGTAAAGTGCATATCTCATCACTCCACAGCAGCAGTAAATAAAAGGAACTATTTGCCAATCTTCTTGGAGGGAGGGAAGGCACCATATTTTCATTTTGAAAGGAAGATGAACCTGGGAAATAAAACACACTAAGAAAAAACACATGTAATACCCATATCAGTTTCCAGCCCTGGTCTGGGATAAAAGCTGTTACGATCTATATGGATAAAACAGGATTCTATTAGGGGAAAAGCGTATGATCAATGACTATATTTCCAAAACCAAAAAGTGGGATCACATGATCTATCAACAGAACAGAATATCTAAAATTAGGTCTGTCTCAGAAAATCTGAAACATATGGCCACAATTATATCCCAATAAAATATCTCATTCTAAAATGCACCTAGTAATTGGTACAATTCTTCCAGGACAGAGCTTAATGCCCATTACTAGACTACTGCAGAGGACAAATAGTGTTCTATGTTATTTTTAATTAAATAGGAACACAGGTGATTTCCAGAGACATTTAGAAATTAATACCAGTTGTATACATCTTCCCTAATACTCGTAGTACCTAAAAATCAAATTCTTAGCAGACAAATTGGTCCCATTTTCATTTTTAAAGCACACAGTATTGAAAGAATAAACTGCAATGGTTATATTATAGTTGCTTAAAAAATATAAAAACTAATCAGAATCTGGAAGGAAAAATGAAAAGGCTGAGGAAAAGTAAGAAAAGAAAGTATCCAACCTCCAAAATGAGTAAATAGGTCAGCCCTTTTGTTCCGAAGTTAACGTTCTGTCTTGACTGCTTGTTTCAGAGAAAACCATGTGCACTGGTTCCATCATAATTCTTATTCCACATTACAAAAATCATCACATAAATTTGGCACAATTAGCAATCTACTCAGAATAAAGCATAAATGGAACAATACATTAAAATGGAAACTGCATACCTATACCACTGCTCTCTTTTTAGAGAACAGTGAACACTTTGGTAAGCACCAAATTCACAGAAAAGAAAGAAAATTCTGCTATGCACATAAACCAGTGGCACTAAAAATGATAAAGACATCTTTAATAATTTATTTTCTTTATAATGGTCCCACCCTATTATTTTGCTAATCCATTCACTGTCCTATAATTAGGTCATTTATGGAACAGATTGGATGCTATATGACTGAAAAGTTTTCATGCTAAATTAACCTTAGTTACATCTGGTAGATCCAGACCAAAATCTCAAATATCCTCATATTTAGAGGAGACAGTGACATATTTTACAAGGATATCTAACCTTCTTTCCACTCTACCTGCTCTTATCTTCTCTAGGATTTGGGAAACTGGAAAATTCTTGATTTTCCAAGAGCTAGACATATGGACTCTCATCAGTTTATATAAACTTCAATTCATTTTCAATCCTAAATTATGACACAATGTCATTGCTATAAGACTTCCACTGTACCTGCTATGCTGGCAACAATTTTAACATTCTATTAAAATCAAGGGATAACCCAAGATCCAGCTATGAGCGAAAGGACAGCAGAGCTGAGGAGCACGACAGTGGGCAAAGTACAACTGCAGCCATGTGACTGAGGGGATCACTGCTAAAGTGCTGGGAGAGTGCCCACAGAGAAAACACAGTACCTTTAGGGAAATTTGCATGTTAAAAGTAGCTTCCTTTTTTTTTTCTTCTCAGCTGCTTAAGAGATCACCTATGAACACAAGTGAAATTTAAAATTGTGAGAATGCTTTTATCAACTTGAAAAGTAAACGGCATATAAATAAATACTGGACAAGGGCAACCCTGTTATAGAATAACAGTAAGTTCCAAATGAACCTTCAAAACCACAATTTGACAAAAATGCAAACTAAACAACAATGAACACATAATCCAATTTCAAAACTATATACAAACTCAAACATCCTAAATTGAAAAAGACATGAAGCAACAAAATTAGACATCCCAAACACCAAAGGAAAAACTTGAAGGTAAATGGCAATCTAATGGCACAAATGCCTCCAGAAAACAATGTTACTGTTAATAATCTGCAGGAGAGAAACTTTCAAGAGATCATGGTTCAGATTTTCAAATGTTTTTGGATCAAGTGACCTGAGACTGATTCTTGAGCCTATGTGTAATTCTGACTAAGATATCTGGGCATGCCTTTCAAATGACACCATGAGATGAGTAAAGAGAAAACCTCGTCTCTTTCCTGCCTTTCAACACACCAACAGCAAACCATGTTCACGAACGTAGGGCTCTTTCTAGAAACGCTGAAGGCTAAGGAACTGACTGGTACATAGGAGGTGTGGTACTTCTATTTCCATACATATGTCCTGGCTCAAGTCAAAAAGCCTACAATTAATGAAATAAAGGATTCCTCATGTTACATGCTGGAGGTCACATACCATGAATAGTAAATCTACAAATAGTACTTTCAAAGCCTAGAGTTATCTGTTAGCAATGCACATTATCAAGAGGCTTTATAATATGCTTTAAATGCCAACCATGTCTTAGACGTGAATGATATGCATGAGTCCAGAATCTTAATAAAAATTGACCAGCATGTCACTCACTTCAATTCTCATTTTAAATAGGCACTGTGAAAATGGGAATGCTGCTGTACAGTAATGAGTAGTATAGAATGAAATTAGTGTTCTTTTATGAGTACCTGCTCTACATTTTAATTTCCCTTTAAAGAAGCACATGAAATAGAAAAAATTTTTTTATCAGTCTATAAAAGGAGTTAGTGTTTAGAAATAAAAATGAAGCACTTGCATCTTCATTTTTTAAAACTTCACAAAGGTGCAAACAATGTAATGGTTTCTGGGCTCACATGGGCAGATCAGTACTATTGTGTCTAGTTTTCCTAGATGTACCATCGTCTCGTGGCAGTGCTTTCTGCAGATTTGACATAGCAGCAGTTCTCTCGATGTCTATCACAGCATACAGCTCTGTGCGTCTCGTAGGGGTCTGTGGAAGGGGAGTGGTAGGCGTTTTTGGAGTCTGAGGGTTGTCAGAGTCACTGCCACCTTCCAAGTCAACCTGTATGTAATTGAGCTGCCTGTGTTCTAAACTTGGGCGTCTGATATCAAAGTTAAAGACTGTCGGTGTACAGTCCCGACGCCTTGAATATTCTATTTTGTGAGCACTTGCCGGCACTGTTACATTCTCTGTATTTACATAGTTATGCATTGGATCAAGATTATTATGGTAGCCATTTAGAGATGGGGTCTTTGGTCCTAAATTGTCATCTTCATCCCTACTTAGCTTGCGGGCTTCCCAAACAGGAGGCAAAGATGGTAGATTTTCGTAGTTTAACAATGCAGTTCTTCTCTGAGCTGAGTTGTTGATATTCTGGGTATCTGAGGTACTGGTGGACGGCAGACGACCTCTCCTGAGCCCTGAGGCACTGGGGAGAGATAGCCCATTTAGATTTTCATACACCAGTTTGTTAACAGAGGGCACGTCTCTTCGTTCATCACTGTCATAGCCAGTGTCCCATTCCGTGTTATTCACACCACTTCCGCTGACTTGATCTCTTCCAAGTTGTTCCAGTTTCTCTTTTTCCATTAATTGCTTTTGAACTGGGGTTGGTCCTAAGACAAACTTGACTCCTTCAGGTTCAAGAAGAATCTGAGGGTCCCTGTCCTCAATATTACTTGGTTCTTCTTTTGGTGTGTTGCTTTCAGCATTAGAAACCCTTGCCTCCAATGGGACATGCACACTTGCGCGGTTTTTCCGTTCTTCTTGTACACCTGTAGTGTTGACATAGGTATGTACCTAAAACAAAAGAGGAAAGTGAATCAGTAAACTTGCTTTAAAAAGAAAAACAAAGAACAAAAAAATTTGCCTGACTATATCAATTAATTTTATTAACTTTCTAAGTATATTCTTACTTCAAAGCTTTTGTACCTGTTTTTTTTTTTTACCAACAAAAAGGTTAGGGGGAGGTGGGAGAAATGTAGAAATATCTTCCTAGCTTGATAAAAGAATAACTGCTTTAAAATACACGTGATGGGGCTTCCCTGGTGGCACAGTGGTTGAGAGTCCGCCTGCCGATGCAGGGGACAGGGGTTCGTGCCCCGGTCCCGGAAGATCCCACATGCTGCGGAGCGGCTGGGCCTGTGAGCCATGGCTGCTGAGCCTGCACGTCCGGAGCCTGTGCTCCGCAACGGGAGAGACCACAACAGTGAGAGGTCTGTGTACCGCAAAAACAAAACAAAACACATGTGATGGTGAAACATGATAAGCATTCTGTAGAAAAAATAAAAACTCAGGAACAAATGGGGATTATTACTTTGATGTTGTTCTAAAATTCTCATCAATCTATTAAAACCTGATTTAGAAATAGAAAATAACAAGTATTAAAAAGGAAGAGAGAAATTTATCATAATTTATAGATGATCTGACTATACAAAGAGACAGACCCTACTAGATTCAATAAGAGCTCTGTAAAATGCATAGTTATCAAATAGATACCAGGAAATTAATGCTACTTAGAAAAGTTTGTGGTATTTGGCGGGGGGGACAATATAAAAAAAGTTCAGAAGTCTACACATAAAATTTGAAAATCTCAAAAATAAAATTCAAAACTAAGGGAAATTTAATTATAGTAAATAAGAACTCATTTAACAAGTAAAGAACACAAACAAATGGATTTCAAAACAGTAAAAATTTCTTCATGATAAACAACCATATTGTTGACAAAAGATAAGTATAACTAAGTAATACATAGACAATGTTAACCAGCTAACTTCATTCCTAAAATGAAAATATAATAGTCAGGAATATTAAATTGCTCTGTTAAAACACTGACAACAAAATCTGCCTTATTGCTAGTAGTCCACTAACTATAAAAACTGTAACATAAAAAGCTTTCATTGGAGGTTATTGTAACTGAATTGGCCATTGGTTATGTCCGTCTTTATCTATAGATGCACCTCTCCTGTGAACCCACAAACTTACTGTGATGCTAAGTTTCCCTCAACACCTATATATATTTGGGTATATGACAGAAAATACATACTATTTCCTCTGAGTCTTCACTACAAAAGTCATATACAAATAGTGACAGCTAAAATTCAAACTAAAACCTTCAAGTGTTAGCACAATAACACTCTAACCCCACACAATATGTTAGACAGTAGGACATGCTTACTTGTTCCTCAGCCACAAGCAAGGGATGTGTAGACTCTTCACCTACTGAAGGCAGGCGTGCACTTCCCACAGAAGGATGTCTGCTTGAAGGATGGGATGAAGCGTCTCCAAATGAGGGGTATCGGGGATATCCATTAGGTAAGTTCTGAGCAGCAAACCCTGGAGCTGAGTGTTTGTTTGTTTATTGGTTTAAGAAAGGATACAGGGGTAGGGCACAGAGAATAAAAATGAATGAGAATACAATCAGCACTGAGAGGTTTAAGGAAGATGTTTCTGGCAAGACATATGAGAAACCAGAGCAAAACAGCGTACCACCTCCACTCTAACTTTCCACTCACATTTTAAATAATATGAAACATTTAATGTTTTCATATTTAAAATATTTAAAATGTTTATAATTATAGCTAACAGTTTTTTAAAACTCACAACCACTATACTTACGTTAGCCAATGGTAATTCCTAACAATTTATAGATTAAAAAACCATAACCTATAGTTTATAATAGAAGAAGGAAAATGGACACTTACTTGTAGGTGTTCGAGGTGTTCTGGGGACTTCCAATTCTGTCTGATGATTATTCCTTTCAACAACTGGCTCCTCTACTACATTTATACTATTATTCTGCATAATCTCTTGCAACATATTAAATAATTCTTCTGCACGAGCACACTTAAAGGCAAAGATTCCTACAAATACAAACCAGAAGAAAAAAATGGTCACTGCATCTTTAAAAAAGACACAGGAGCACCTGTCGAAGAACAAACTTGTAAAGTAAGCATTCCATGCACCAGTAGCAAGAAAAGGCTTTAAAATAAATGTCTGATAAATTAATTATATTCCCTGTTTCAAAACATAAACCCAAAAGTTCACAGAATAATTTTCATTTGTCCATGGGTGATGGCTCAAAATAAGGAAGACAAAAACAAGATTTGCAAACTTACTCTAGTCTGCTTTTTAACAGCAGGGGGAGCCCAACTTACCATTACCAAGGGAATTCTTTATCACTTGACAGGCCCTTGCTCAGTGGTTTACAATCATTACCTTAATTATTGGATTACCGTTGCCCTCTGATACAGAAGAAATTTGATGCGACAGAGGTCATGCAACTTGCCCAAGGACTTTCAAGAAGTAGGTAGCAAAAAATAAAAGTACGCTCTGTTTGACTCCAAAGTTTAGGTTCTTTTCCCAGAGTTACAACAGTAAAGACATATAGGCAATTTACTGGGACTAATCATTTACTTACTGCAAATCTTAAATTTAATATAAGCCAAAATTCTGGACATAGAAAACATGCTTAATAAATGCTTGATAAATGAATACATAGTGTACTATGTCTCTTTTTATTTTTATTTTTTTATTTTTTTGCAGTACGCGGGCCTCTCACTGTTGTGGTCTCTCCCGTTGCGGAGCACAGGCTACGGACGCGCAGGCTCAGCGGCTGTGGCTCACGGGCCCAGCCGCTCCACGGCATGTGGGATCTTCCCGGACTGGGGCACGAACCCGTGTCCCCTGCATCGGCAGGCGGACTCTCAACCATTGTGCCACCAGGGAAGCCCGATGTCTCTTTTTTAAATAATCCACTTATTTGAGAATTTTTTTATTCTGGATAAAAGTAAAACATTAAACATTACATATAGAATAACTGAATTATAGAATGATATTTCAAATATGACAATGTTTGGAGAAAAAAAAATAAAGGCTCTACCTACCTTGTCCAGTTTGACACCTTCGACCACTTTCAAAAGAAAAGAGATTCGAATCATAGCCATAGCGTCGGAGGCAGAGGTAGTGCCATTTTACTGAGTCACGTTTGCGAGTGTATAAAATCAGTTCTGTATCTGTAAGTTCCATTATGCCAGAACCTAACTCATTCCCATCATCATCCACATTAATGACCTAAAAAAGAAAGTTTAATTAGTGCTAACTTAATGCTCCCACTTGACAGTTATGCACATATTTCACTAATTTGTCAGGAAAATGTACTATTGCTTATTGGTTCAGTTACTGGTTCCTTTGTTAGTTCATTCAACAACCAATTGTGTGTTTAGGGCATGGACTATGTAGCAGTGTAATACCCAGTTCATATCCACAAAGAACTCACATTCCCACTGAGGAGATAAGATACACAAACACGAAAAACACCACAAAACTGTAAATGCTTAACTAACAGATGAGTGCACCAGAGGCTGCGAAATGCAGGAACTGTGGCGGAGGGTTGTTGGAGAAGCCTTCACATAAGAAGAGGAGGGACTTTAGCTGGGCCTTGGGTATAATTAAATTTAGACAGGAAATAAAGTTAAGAGGGAGAACTGGTGGGTCAGGAGTTAGGGGGCACATCCTGAAGATGCAGTGCTACAGCAGAGACAAAGAAGGTATGTTTCAGAGAGATCAGGACAGGAGTGGCATTGAGTTCATGTAAGGGAAGGCTTTGCACTGCTCAGTTTCAGAAAATGGCCAGAGACTATAAAGAACAGATAACACTTAGGGAGAATTTACTATACCCCGGGGTTGGGTAAAGTGCTTTACTTGTGTTTTTGTCATTTAATACTGATCCTAAACTGCAGGTAACAGTATTTTCTCCACTGCACACAAATCAACAAAGACTTAGTGATAATGTAACCTGCCAAAGGTACCAAAGCTATGAAGCAAGAGGGCTGTGACTTACACCTAGGTTTGTGTGATCCAGTGGCTATGATTTACAGCAGAATGAGGTCACAATATGGGAGATTAATGACTGTGGATGAGTAAGGAATGGAGCACTTAGCATCTAAGTAACAGAACACCACTGAAGTTTTAGAATGATGAAGGAGGAAGATTAATTTGATGTCAACTGCAGGATGCATCACAGAGGTGACTGAAGATACAGTTCAGTTATGAATTTGTCCAGGCATTGAACAATGACTGGGAGCTGGTGACGGGACTGAAGAGGCACCTCTAAAGTGGCATTTTAAAGACAATATTATCAGTAGGTCATTTCAAAGAGGTCTGATGGGACCAAATCCAGGGGCTCTTATCACTGTGACCAAAGATTGAGTTCTTCAGAGGATATAACAGTCACTCATTAGTGCTATGTTTTCCTGACGGAGATACAAGATTTAGGCACTCATATCCATGATTGGTGATGTTGAAAGGTAAAAATAAACGTAACTGTCTTCCAAGTTAAAAAAAAAAAAAGACAGTATTATCAGAATTGTGTGGCTCTAACTGGATATGGAAGACCAAAGGAAAAGGAAAAGAGGATTTCACACTGTCAGTAAGAAATGTCGTCATCATTTGTTAAAACAAGAAAAGGCAGAATGGACAAAAAAGGAAAATAAAAGGGTCTGAATACAAAAGTGAGGAAATAATAAGACATGTTAATCAAGTGAAGTAAAAGAAGAGTATCCAGGTAGGCAGTGAGAGCTACATCTCAACCAGCTTTTACTGACCTTAAACTTGTTCCGATGGTTATCTGGGACAGTGTCTTTATCTGGACAGCTACAACAGCTACCCATGGCTTCTTCAGAAGACCATGTGAGCACTACATGAAAGATAATTTGCAAAAAATTATTAGATGTAAGATACAAAAGTCATAAAGCAGAAAAAGACACTAGAAATCATCTAACATAAGCCCTGCGTTATTTTGATGAGGAAAACTAAGCCTAAGGAAGTAAATGGCTAGAGCTAGATTTCATACAACTAGCTGGAGAATTTTACTCAGCAACAAGAATAATAATTCTGTGAGGGAGACTTCACAGAAATCTGAAATTTAATTTGCAAAGGTCTGCCTATTTTAAAATTATCTAAAAGAAACCAATTTAAGTTCTCACATATAACACTGTTAAAGTCATTCATAGAATTAACCGTTTATGGCTTATTAGGAATTTCAGTCCCTCTTTATTAATAAATTTCCAAAAGGATGCTAGACTTCTGGCTTGGCAAGTATTTTGATTCATACCATGCATTGTAGTATTCTTTATGTATCCCAACGGACAAAATTGGTTAATAAGACACAAAAACAAATCTGGAATAGTTCATTAAGAGAGAAAGACAACTCAAAATTCAAGCTGTAACTTAACACAGAGAATACTGGCAAAACTGAAAGTACCTCATTATTACAAGAATACATGAAATTATGGCTTTCTGGGGCATTTAGTGTTGAAGAATACTGCAAGTGAACAAAGGAAAAATCCAAAACTTCACTTACAAACAAGAGAAAGAATGAGAATGGATGAGACAGTATTTGAAAGAAGGAAGCGTAAGAAGCTATTAAACATTAAAAACATAAATCTGATTAAAATTTGCCTAAAATTCTTCAGCAGATCTTCACTACCTTCAGGAAAAAATGCAAAGCTCATCAGTATGACACATGGTCCTTCACAATCTGGTCTCTGTCTACAAATACAGTCTAACCTCTGCCCTCCTCTCTGCTTTGAGTCCTACCCAGCCATACTAAACAGTTTCCCCAGAGCATCTTGTTCTCTCACAGCCTTCCATGCTGCTCCTTTCTCAAGATTCAACTTCAGAGTACAGTGCCTTCAGGAAGCCTTCTCTGACTCCTACCAACTGGGCAAGTTATATTCCTTGTGTACCCCCAAAGCACCCTGAGCTTCCCAGTATCACAGCATCTTTCACACTGTTTACTCAGTAAAAATTGTGATAGACTGTTTACCTATCTATCTACTTCCCTCCACTTTGAGCTCCTTCCCAGCAGGGATGGACTTTATTCATTCTTGCATTCCCTGTGCCTAATACAATACCTAGCAAACAGGAGGTGCTCTAAGTCTCTTGTGAGCTGAACGAACTGCACTAAAGGAAGATAAAGAATGCTGGCAGGTGTAAGGATTAAGCAGATAAAAAAGGATACTAGTGTATAAACCAAAAGAAGTGATAAGTAAAATAGTAAAGTTAAATTAAGACTCATATTTGGTGGTGTCCTTGCACTGGTGAGAATGATCATCATTAAAAGGCCTACAAATAATAAATGCTGAAGAGGGTGTGGAGAAAAGGGGATCCTACTACACTGTTGGGAACATAACTTGGTGCAGCCGCTATGGAAAACAGTATGGAAGTTCCTTAAAAAACTAAAAAGAGAATTGCCATAAGATCCAGAAATCCCACTCCTGGGCATATATCCAGAGAAAACTCTAATTTGAAAAGATACATGTACCCCAATGTTCATAGCAGCACTATTTACAACAGCCAAGACATGGAAGCAACCTAAATGTCCACTGACAGATGAATGGATAAAGAAGATGTGGTATATATACATATACAATGGAATACTACTCAGCCATAAAAAAGAATGAAATAATGCCATTTGCAGCAACATGGATGGACCTAGAGATTATCACACTAAATGAGGTTAAGTCAGACAGAGAAAGATAAATACCACATGGTATCCCTTATATGTGGAATCCAAAATATGATACAAATGAACTTATTTACAAAACAGAAACAGACTCACAGACATAGCAAACAAACTTATGGTTACCAAAGGGGAAAAGGGGTGGGGGAGGGATAAATTAGGAGTTTGGGATTAGCAGATACACACTACTATAAATAGAATAGATAAACAACAAGGTTCTGCTGTTTAGCACAGGGAACTATATTCAATATCTTGTAATAAAACATAATGGAAAAGAATATGAAAAATTATATATATATATATATATATATACATATATAACCAAATCACTTTGCTGTACACCACAAACTAACACAACATTGTAAATCAACTATGTTTCAATTAAAAACGTAAACAAATAAATTTATATAGGGAAAATGTGTGATGACATAAGGATAAAAAAAATCTTGTTACATAAAAGAAAAAAAAAGATTCATATTTGGTGCCTTAATATGCCAGTTAAGTATCATGGTATAAAGATGACTAAGTCACAGGATGTACCTCTGAAGAGCCGTGAATCTAAAGGGAAAGACAGAGATGTCAACAGATAATGCATTATGATAAACCTCATATCAGAATATAAGAAGAGTTCCGTGGGCACAGAGAAAGAAGCAACTAACTTACTGGGTTAGGAAGGGCAGGAAGCACCATTTGAGCTGGTACTTTAAAAGGTGAGCAGAAACAGTGTGCTAGGCAAAAAACAGAAACAGGCACTTGAGACAAGATAAAAAATTAGGTGCAACGATAAAAGTCATGAAAGGTGGCAATGTATTCAGGAGAAAGTGAGGCATCTAGTACGACTAGAGTGCAGGGTAGGCTGTAACACAAGCATGAGCCAAACCATAAAGCATCCTGAACAACAACCTAGGGATCTGGGACTCCAACTAACTTGAAGCTAGCCTGCTTCCAATGTCCCTGTAGTCAAATGGACATGACTCTATCATGGCACTTATCACATTCTACTGTAATGTTGACCTGTCTCACCGCCCACTTCACTGTGATTTCCAAGAGGATAGGAACCGTGTCTTCTGAATTTTCTAGGGCACTAAGCATACTGTTTGACATAGCAGATATTCAATAAATGTTTAATTTTTAAAAATTAGTAAGTGTTTAATAAATTAGAAGATGAGGAGGCCAAAAGAATATTTCAAAAAAAATTTTAAAGCAGACAGATAATTGATAGAAACAAAAAAACAAAGTGTCTTCTTGAATTTGCTTATCCAGCCTCACCACTGAATACAAAGAGCTAAATGATTACTACAGTGTGGCTTTTGCCTGAAAAAATAATGCCTCAAGTAAATATTTTTCAACTATTTTCAAAAGAGGTAGAAAAAGCATTCTTCCACTTGACATCTTCACAGGCTACCTGTTAAGGCAGCACCTCCGATTTTGTCAGGGATATATGAATGGTGGTACAACCTACCTGGGGACTATATTCACATTGAATGCTTCAGTTCAGTACAAAAATAGTTAATGAAAAGCCTACCATGTGACACGAAATCCTTGTATGCCACTCCAAAGAGAATGAATTTCATCCTACACAAGGTGAAAAGCCAATGAAGTATTTTAAGTAGGAAAGTGAGGTGGTCAGGAATTCATTTTAGATACCTCCATCTGCAGGGTAATTTTAAGTGGGAGTTTAGCTCAGAGGAAGGGAAGCCAGTGAGAGACTACTGAAAAATGGAATATGCCAAAGACTTAAAACCAGAGCAGCAATAGTAGGAATAAAGATGAAAATAATGAATTTAAAAAATATTTAGGAAGACAAGTCTGTAGCACTGAGTGTCTGGCTAGGTATACAGGAAGTAAGAGGCAGTTTTCAGGGCGGCAGATGAAGGGTGCTGGTTCCATTACTTGAAATAGGAAAAACTTTCTCAGGTCTTTGAGAGGAAGTGATGGTGGTTAGTTCAGTTTTAGACATGTTAAATTGAGATTCCAGAGAACAACCAAATGAAGACTTACAATAGAGAGGTAAGTACATCAGAATGGGTTTGAGGAAAGAGGTAAAATATTGGGACACATGGTATTTGAAACTATAAAAGAGAAGACCCGGATCAAGGACAGTATAAAGAGCAGTCTGCAGTTAAAATTCTGGGGAACACAAATGCACAAATACTGGAGTAGAGAAAAACAAGTGAAGGAGAAGAGAAACAATCAGAATAGTACAAACTAAGAAAAGAAAGTGTCAAGAAGGAAGGTTTTATCCATAGTGGAGTGTTAGGTAGAGGCAGAAGCCATTCAGCAGTGAGCAAATGGAAGATAAGGAAGTAGTCTTCCAAAGAATAGAAAAGGCTCTTTCAAGAACACAGTTGGAAAGGAAAGCCTAAAGTGATAGGGTATGGCTGAACACGGTTTCAAAAGAAAATATGTTGCTTGAGTTACTTATTGTTTTAAGGTGACATAGATTTATGCAGATTAGTAATCAGTATGTCAGTAAAGGTTAAAGAATATAGGAAAAAACAAAGGACATAGATGGCTACAGGATGGATCAAGGCAGAGCGGGGAGGCTAGAGAAGATGAGTTCCGGGGCCCAGACTAAGAAGTCTGCCCAGAGAAGGAGTGCCTTGTCCTCTGAGGAGCGAGAGCAGAAAATAAGGATGGGTGGAACACAGTAGAGAAGCTGAAATAGGTAACACCTATCCTAAATTTCTTTGGTAAAACAGAAGCCACGTTTGCACAATGAAGGACTTGAGGATTATTCTCTGAGAAGCTACCCAAGAAAGGTAGCAGGATTATTAAGTAGGCTATGCTGAGACTTAGCAGAAGCTGGAGAGTAAGATTATGCAATTTTTCTAGCTGTACTCAGCAGTCCAGAGGGTAGACAGTTCAACTGACCCAGGGTCAGAAGGTAAAAGGACAAGGAAATTAAAGGATATTGGCAATATAGGGGTTTGAAGTAATGGGCCATCAGGTCTGGTCAGGAAAGAAGCAAGAAAGAAGAGGGCTGATGAAATGGGAGAAACGGAGGGAGGCAAAAAGGAACAGGAGGCCTCAGTAAGGCTGAAGGATAGGCTTAGTAGGAGTAAGACTGTGAAACAGCTGGGACTACAGGCAGTTGTAGTCAATCTTCCAGCACAGAAGGAGATTTTTAATGTGAAGTTTTCACCCACATCTCTGACTCCTCCTCCTGAAGCATGAATTCCCAGGCAGGGGGGAAGGCAAGACACAGATAGTCTGCATTTATGACAATCAGATTAATACCTGGAGAGCGTCTGAGTTATGTAACACCCAACAATATATACGAATACCTGTAAACACTTGATGAGAAACCACGTGATCTCATCATCTTACCCAGTCAAGTTTATAACTCAGCAAAAACACAAAAAGACGTACTATACTCCCTCAAGAAAGCCACATAGGAAAGTAATAAGAGTACATTCAAGAACAAAAGGTAGCTTCTGTTTGGGAAGATCAATATTGCAACAAGTGTGTTGAGTATTTTAAATTAGTAAACACTGTCATGTTTAATTAAAGCCAATTGTCCTTATTTTTGGGAAGTGGAAGGTGACAACATATAAGGAGGCAAAATAAAACTGCATTCAAGAAAACACTATTAAAATCTCTAGTTTAAAAAATGTAATTTGTGGACTTAATGATTTTTTTAAAAGTAAACTTCAACTTACCTAGATCTGGCCATTAATATTCTTAGCCTCTGATGCAGCATCAGGAGTTTAATCATACTTCAAAACACCATGTTTTCTTTGTTTGCTGACTTAACCTACAATTAGCAAGAAAAAGTCAAGAATTTGTTATTTCTTTAAAAACAGTTTTCCTTATGAGACTTCTGGCAGCACTGTTACTTCAGTTAATCTATTTAAACAAACTAAAAAGACTGAATTTTTGATTAAAATATATATAATTTATAAGATCTATTCTAAAAATTAATATAATGTGTACATGGTACCATCAATACAGCCTTTTCAAAAGAAAAGTAAAAATGCAGCAGCTTACATTCCATGATGTTTGGATATCAGGACCTTTAGAAGCCATTGATTTTAGCTTCTCCACTACAGCTATGACATTAGACAACACACTTCTCTATATTTATCTCCACAGCCATAAAATGAAAGGTTAGACTAAACTACCTCCAAGGTTCCTTTCCAGCTCTAAAACCCCATTTTAGCCAAGGGCAGGCTAATTCTCTATATCCAGTCACGTCTCTTAAACCTCACCGTCCCTCCTGCCAAAGAGTGGACTGTCTTTAGAATCCACCCTCTGTATCTTCTAATCCACAAGACACCCCCAGAATCAAATCAGAAGAGTCAGTCATGAGAAAACAGTATGAACTAGCATGCCATAGAGTCACAGGATAATGATATAAATTACAGCAATAAATTACAATCTAGAGTTTTAAGAGATTTCAATATACTTCTGAAAATTTTCTGGTTAATTTATTCACTTTCTACAACACAGAAAAAAAAAATCAAATTCACTCAAGCACGAGCACTAGCATTTACTAAACAGCTATACTACAGTAGGCATTATGTTAGCGGTTTTACAAAGAGTCTTATTTTTTTATTTTATTTTATTTTTTAATGAAATGAATTTCTTTTATTGAGAAAAAAAGAGACAGAAATAAAAGCTGTATGAGTGGTGGCAACCAAAAAACTTAAGGAGTGCTGAGAAAGTCAGAGCAGTTTATTTTTTTTAGTTTTAAAAAATTTTTTTAAATTCTTGAATTTTATTTTTTTGTACAGCAGGTTCTTATTAGTCAGCAATTTTATACACATCAGTGGATACATGTCAATCCCAATCGCCCAATTCAGCACACCACCACCCCCATCCCCCCGCCACTTTCCCCCCTTGGTGTCCATGTTTGTTCTCTACATCTGTGTCTCTTTTTCTGCCCTGCAAACTGGTTCATCTGTACCATTTTTCTAGGTTCCACATATATGCATTAATATACGATATTTTTCTCTTTCTGACTTACTTCACTCTGTATGACAGTCTTGAGATACATCCACGTCTCAACAAATGACCCAATTTTGTTCCATTTTATGGCTCAGTAACATTCCATTGTATATATGTACCACATCTTCTTTATCCATTCGTCTGTTGATGGGCATTTACGTTGCTTCCATGAGCTGGCTATTGTAAATAGTGCCGCAATGAACATTGGGGTGCATGTTTTTTTTTTGTTTTTGTTTTTTTTTTTGCAGTACGCGGGCCTCTCACTGTCGTGGCCTCTCCCATTGCGGAGCACAGGCTCCAGACGTGCAGGCCCTGCGGCCATGGCTCACCGGCCTAGCCGCTCCACGGCATGTGGGATCTTCCGGGACCGGGGCATGAACCCATGTCCCCTGCATCGGCAAGTGGACGCTCAACCACTGTGCCACCAGGGAAGTCCACATGTCTTTTTGAATTATGGTTTCCTCTGGGTATATGCCCAGTAGTGGGATTGCTGGATCATATGGTAATTCTATTTTTAGTTTTTTAGGGAACTTCGATACTGTTCTCCATAGTGGCTGTATCAATTTACATTCCCACCAACAGTGTAAGAGTGTTCCCTTTTCTCCACACCCTCTCCAGCATTTGTTGTTTGTAGACTTTCTGATGTTGCTCATTCTAACTGGTGTGAGGTGATACCTCATTGTAGTTTTGATTTGCATTTCTCGAATAATTAGTGATGTTGAGCAGCTTTTCATGTGCTTCTTGGCCATCTGTATGTGTTCTTTGGAGAAATGTCTATTTAGTTCTTCTGCCCATTTTTGGATTGGGTTGTTTGTTTTTTTAATATTGAGCTGCATGAACTGTTAATATATTTTGGAGATTAATACTTTGTCTGTTGATTCATTTGCAAATATTTTCTCCCATTCTGAGGGTTGTCTTTTCATCTTGTTTATGGTTTCCTTTGCTGTGCAAAAGCTTTTAAGTTTCATTAGGCCCCATTTGTTTATTTTTGTTTTTATTTCCATTACTCTAGGAGGTGGATCAAAAAAGATCTTGCTGTGATTTATGTCAAAGAGTGTTCTTCCTATGCTTTATTGTAAGAGTTTTAAAGTGTCTGGTCTTACATTTAGATCTCTAAAGCATTTTGAGTTGTTTTTGTGTGTATGGTGTTAGGGAGTGTTCTAATTTCATTCTTTTACATGTAGCTGTCTAGTTTTCCCAGCACCACTTATTGAAGAGACTGTCTTTTCTCCATTGTATATCCTTGCCTCCTCTGTCATAGATCAGTTGACCATAGGTGCGTGGGTTTATTTCTGGGCTATCTTGTTCCATTCATCTATGTTTGTGTTTTTGTGCCAGTACCATATTGTCTTGATTACTGTAGCTTTATAGTATAGTCTGAAGTCAGGTAGTCTGATTCCTCCAGCTCCGTTTTTTCCCCTCAAGACTGCTTTGGCTATTCAGGGTCTTTTGTGTCTCCATACAAATTTTAAGATTTTTTGTTCTAGTTCCATAAAAATGCCATTGGTAATTTGATAGGGATTGCACTGAATCTGTAGATTGCTTGGGTAGTATAGTCATTTCCCCAATATTGATTCTTCCAATCCAAGAACATGGTATATCTCTCCATCTGTTGGTATCATCTTTAATTTCTTTCATCAGTGTCTTATAGTTTTCTGCATACAGGTCTTTTGTCTCCCTAGGTAGGTTTATTCCTAGGTATTTTATTCTTTTTGTTGCAATGGTAAATGGGAGTGTTTCCTTAATTTCTCTTTCAGATTCTTCATCATTAGTGCAAGAGATTTCTGTGCATTAATTTTGTATCCTGCAACTTACCAAATTCATTGATTAGCTCTAGTAGTTTTCTGGTGGCATTTTTAGTATTCTCTATGTATAGTGTCATGTCATCTGCAAACAGTGACAGTTTTACTTCTTCTTTTGCAATTTGTATTCCTTTTATTTCTTTTTCCTCTCTGATTGCCACGGCTAGGACTTCCAAAACTGTGTTGAATAATAGTGGCGAGATTGGACATCCTTGTCTTGTTCCTGATCTTAGAGGAAATGCTTTGTTTTTCACCATTGAGAATGATGTTTGCTGTGGGTTTGTCATATATGGCCTTTATTATGTTGAGGTAGGTTCCCTCTATGTCCACTTTCTGGAGAGTTTTTATCATAAATCGGTGTTGAATTTTGTCAAAAGCTTTTTCTGCATCTATTGAGATGATCATATGGTTTTTATTCTTCAATTTGTTAATATGCTGTATCACACTGATTGATTTGCATATATTGAAGAATCCTTGCATCCCTGGGATAAATCTCACTTGATCATGGTGTATGATCCTTTAAATGTGTTGTTGGATTCTGTGTGCTAGTATTTTGTTGAGGATTTTTGCATCTATATTCATCAGTGACATTGGTCTGCAATTCTCTTTTTTTGTAGTATCTTTGTCTGGTTTTCGTATCAGGGTGATGGTGGCCTCCTAGAATGAGTTTGGGAGGGTTCCTTCCTCTGCAATTTTTTGGAAGAGTTTGAGAAGGGTGGGTGTTAGGTCTTCTCTAAACGTTTGATAGAATTCACCTGTGAGGCAATCTGGTCCTGGACTTTTGTTTGTTGGAAGATTTTTAATCACAGTTTCAATTTCCTTACTTGTGATTGGTCTGTTCATGTTTTCTATTTCTTCCTGGTTCAGTCTTGGAAGGTTATACTTTTCTAAGAACTTGTCCATTTCTTCCAGTTTGTGCATTTTATTGGCATAGAGTTGCTTGTAGCAGTCTCTTAGGATGCTTTGTATTTCTGTTGTAACTTCTCCTTTTTCATTTCTAATTGTATTGATTTGAGTCCTCTACCTTTTTCTTGATGAGTCAGGCTAATAGTTTATCAATTTTATCTTCTCAAAGAACCAGCTTTTAGTTTTACTGATCTTTGCTACTGTTTTCTTTGCTTCTATGTCATTTATTTCTGCTCTCATCTTTATGATTTCTTTCCTCCTACTGACTTTGGGTTTTCTTTGTTCTTCTTTCTCTAGTTCCTGTAGGTGTAAGGTTTCATTGTTTATTTGAGATTTTTCTTGTTTCTTGAGGTACGCTTGTATAGCTATAAACTTCCCTCTTAGAACTGCTTTTGCTGCATCCCATAGGTTTTGGATCGTCGTGTTTTCATTGTTATTTGTCTCTGGGTATTTTTTTATTTCCTCTTTGATTTCTCCAGTGATCTATTGGTTATTTAGTAACATATTGTTCAGCCTCCATGTGTTTGTGTTTTTTATGTTTTTTTCCCTGTAATTCATTTCTAATCTCATAGCGTTGGTCAGAAAAGATGCTTGATATGATTTCAATTTTCTTAAATTTACTGAGGCTTGATTTGTGACCCAAGATGTGATCTATCCTGGAGAATGTTCCGTGCGCACTTGAGAAGAAAGTGTAATCTGCTGTTTTTGGATGAAATGTCCTATAAATATCAATTAAATCTATCTAGTCTATTGTGTCATTTAAAGCTTGTGTTTCCTTATTTATTTTCATTTTGGATGATGTGTCCATTGGTGTAAGTGAGGTGTTACAGTCTCCCACTATTACTGTGTTACTGTCGATTTCCTCTTTTACAGCTGTTAGCAGTTGCCTTATGTATTCAGGTGCTCCTATGTTGGGTGCATATATATTTATAGTTGTTATATCTTCTTGGATTGATCCCTTGATCATTATGTAGTGTCCATCCTTGTCTCTTGTAACATTCTGTATTTTAAGGTCTATTTTATCTGATATGACTATTGCTACTGCAGCTTTGATTTCCATTTGCATGGAATATGTTTTTCCATCCCCTCACTTTCAGTC